TTATAGATTCACGTCCTAATTTGGGGTTCCTCTCAGTTCCCTTAAAAAAACTGCTCAGAAAGTCCCTAGTACAGAATTTAAATGACATTGCTAATTAGAACATGGTTGCCATCTAGCGGTTGCAATCGAGAACCACAGGCTTAGTTACCTAAAACAAGTAGGAAAAATGTTCTGCTTTTGCTTTAAAATACAACCCCTTAAGAGTGAACCCCAAACAAACCAAGCTCCCTATGTATACATTCCTCCACCGATGAAAAATTTAAACACAAAGTGCATCAGAGTGTGGGGGAGATTTATTTCCTGGTTCACAGAAAGCATTGTTATTTCTATACATTAAAAATCACCAGAAAAAAATTAAATGATCTATGAATATCATTTAGAAATGAAATGAATCAAGGTGTAGATGAGACCAGGAAGAGATGGTATATAAAGGTGGGTATAGTATTCCATAGCAATTTGGGGAGGAAGAAGATTATTTTGTGTCAGGCCAGAAATCAAAGAAAATCCAAATGTGTGTGCCCAAGTTTGGAGACAGGCAAGAGGTAGAAACTGATCAAGATACAACACAAATATGAAAATCCTTCAATATAAGAGACCAAAAATTAGAAAGAACATAAGTAAACATTCAGTATATCTATCTCAGATTAAGATCATTGGTGTATAAACAGAGGCTACATGGAGAACTGTGTAGCCAGGAGTATATGAATCTTACATTTATATGAGGTATTAGTGAGAGAATGTCATAAAAATAGAAATTATACACCTTTTAACATAACTGTATTAAAATTAATCTTTTCTTGGGACTGAAGTTATATTAAAAAAAATAGAAATTCCTATCTTAAGGCAACTACTGAATGAGAAGTAACAAGAAAATTTCATATTTAATTTAGTAAGAATTTAACCTTTACTCCTGATTTCTAAAATCTTAGTTTAACTGCCAGTTTGTTTTTCATTCCAAGGAGAAATATTTCTGTTTGACCAAGATGTTACAGAGGGTGAGCATGAGTCCTACTTTGAGGCAATCAAACATTTGCAGCCTTTGTCAGCAAAAATTGGTACCATAACCATGAAAATAGTAGAGTAAGAGCTTCTCTATCATACTTCTTAATTGCTATTGGTTACAGATGTTATCAACACTTCCACAAAATAGGCTATGTACTTTAGCTCTGCTTACTGAAACAGCTTTGAAATTCAGTATATTTTCCAAATCTGATCCAGATATGTTTACTTCTGCTTTCACAAAAGAGCTAATATATGTCGTGAGATTAGTGTTCTAAAACACTGAAATAAAAGTTATAATTCTCATATTTTTCCTCCTTCAAATGAAAGTTTACTTTTAGCTCCTCATGTTTCATTTTGCATAAAGGAAAAAAATATATATATACATTATATATAATATATGTGGAATACTAGTGTACACAGACAATTCAGGATTTTAATTTTGTGTATTTTTATGCTCTCATTCTTATTAACATATAATATACAGGATAAAAAAATAGGAAACTTTAAGTGCTAACAGTTCTTTCAGGAAACAAAGCAATTGACCTAAGAAAGATGATTATCTAGGTATTAGCTGGATATTTCACTCTTTTTCTACATTTTATATGACAAATGGGTAGAATATATTGATAATTTGATCTATTAATTAGGATCTCAAACCACACAGGAATCAAATAAGAGAAAGACAGGGGTCATAATTTAAATTAAAAATTTTATAACACAAATCAGGCAAAAGCTTTGAGGTAACTCATCTGCTACACATCTGCTTGCTTGCCCACTGGGGAGTAGGCAATAAAGAGATTGAGACATTTACACAAAGATGGCCAGACAACCAGATCAGATGAGCAACAGGACAGCAAGATTGAGGTACTGTAAGTACAATGTGGGAAAATTTCCTACTAAACCACTCAATTCACTTACAAACAATATTTTAATATATTCAATGTTCAAAGGATACTTTATCAACATAAACGAAGAGCTGGTTAATTTCAAAATGTCATTGGCATAATCAAATTGTGAAAAGTAAGTGATCTTTTAATAATGTTTTATTAAGTAAGGAGCAACTGGGATTTTATAACAGGGCACACACAGTTCCATGTCTTTCAAAGAAAAATATTAAAACAATGACTTAAAATTCCACTTCACATGGCAATAAGAGAAACTCTTAATTATGACATGTGAGAAGATTTGGTATGTACTTGAAAAGCAGAAGTTTGTTTTTCTTGCTCGGCAAAACTGCTACAATGATTTTTTCCCCCAACTTTACCACTTTTTCTCTAATTTCAAACATTGGCAGGTTTATACATGAACCCTGTGGATATAATAGGATATAGAAGTGTGTATGATCTATAGAGCCTTCACTTTCCAAATAAACTATTTGAAAAACAATCTCTGTGAGAGCAAAATTCTAGATTTGTTTCTAGAGAGATGAAATCAGAGTAACATCATATAGAATATATAAAGACAAAATAACAGAATATATTTTTGTAATATAACAAAATGAAACAAATTATAAGAAAAATGAGAATAAATGTAATCTTTTAGATTCTGCTGAAATATAAATATGAACCTTTTCACCTCAAACTAATGAAGCTAAAATTTTCAATTTTAACTGACAGAAACAGCCCTTACTCTCTAATTAAGCAGATTCAACATCTTCTTTTACTCCTTCTGAATTAATGGAAAAATTCAAAAAGAAAAAATGCTATTGTATTGTTTTCTGTGTCAAAACCATGTTCATGCCCTGTTCTGGGATAATATTGCTCTTTTTATACAAAGTTAAAATATCAGAAGTTTTTATATTCTTTAATTTAAAAGGAAAAAAAACCCATCTAACCCACCCAAATCATCTGAATGATAACTTTTCTCATTCACATTGTTTGTGGAATGGTACCATAAATCACATGACTAGTCGTGTTTTCTCTCCTACATCAGCTACTAACAATCTCAGTAGTGAGCTTCAGGCTTTCTCTAAACAAAAGGTCAATGAAGTTTTCTCTACGAATCCCATTTTTAGCTTCATGTCATTCATCCTATTATCGCTCTACCCTATATCTTGATTTTACTAACCTATATTTTGTATGGGTCATTTTTAATTGAATAAATTTCTATAAGCCAACTTATATCCTTTCTGGATCAAGGATAGTTGAAAGAAAGTGTATGAAGTAGATAAGATGACTAAAAAAGCCAAGACCATCAAATACAAGAGAAAGGTATTCTAGACAGAAAAGCATTAGCAAGCTCACTTTCTGTATCTCACCTAAAGCTGTATGCGATCAATTATAATAAACATTTACAGGCAAAAACCTCATTACACAATAAAAAAAAAGCTTTAAAGCTCTCAGACTTTGAATCTATTTTATGATATAAAGAGATTATAAAGGCCCTGGTGATTCTTTCTGTTAACCAACAGCCTGATGCGTCTGTGGAGCCAGCAAAGCAGAGAAAAAGCCCAGAGAAGTTGAATCTCCACAACAATCCTTCAACTAACACATAAAGAAAATAACCTAATTACTGGAAAGCAGGAACAAGAAAATAATAAGTTTGGAAAGGCAGAGAAGCATTAAATGCTAAGGCACAAATTTGTCTCTGCTATGGAACAAGCAATCAGTCTAGATCCTGAAGGCAGCCACTGAAAGCAGTCTGGATGTTTCCACAACATCAGTGAAAGAATGAGAAGAAGCCAAGAAACAGAAAAAAGACTCATTTTAAGTACCAGAAAAGCTGCAAGAGAAAAAGAGCAGAGCTTGCCGTAGACGACGCCCAGCCACAGGCTGCAAGGCACCGTACTGGTCCCTCAGCCCGAGCAGGGTCAGGCTGGATCAGTACACAGGAGAAACGGACCCCAGCTGTGACCCAGACTCCGCGCGTTCAAAGGTACAGACACACACAAGTAATCCGCAGGACGTGGGATTCCTCGCCATTGCGTACAGGTGCAACACAGATTCTCCATGGAAATGCACTGCCAAGGAAATGTGAGCTAATTTACTTAGCAGTCAGTTGCCACCAAGCGAAATGAGAGAATTGGAGAATGAATCCAAGGCAAAAAAAGTACAGAGGGGAGACGTGCAGAATGACACTAAAGCTGCCACACTGTGGATTTACTACCTGGGCTATTTTTCCAGTCACAGCGATTGTGTCATAAATATACGGGGGAAAAAAGAAAAAGCTGCAGTCAGATAAAGAGACCACATTCTCAGCTTTTTTTTTTTTAACACTAACAAGAACCATCAGCAAAATCCATTAGAAATAAAACGGTCCCAACCTAACAGTGCTTAGATGAAACTCGCAAGGGTATAGACAAAAGAGACGCGCTTCCGCGTCAGGACCCAGGACAATTCTCCAAAGTGCTCAGGTCTGCTCCCAAGCCCCGCCAGGCGAAGCCCGAGCCGGAGACTGAGCCGGAGAGGAGAGACCAGCAGCGGCGGGCTAGGGGCAAGGCGGTGTCAGCGGGTGTTAAACACCGAGAGGTCGCGCAGCGGAGCGCCGGGAGGGCAGGAGAAGCGCAGCCGACCGGTGACGCGGCGGAGAGGTTCGTGAGCCC